CCGAACCCATCGAACATAAGATTTTCTTTGCCTTATATATTCGTTTTGGAAGTGAATTCCCTTTTGGAAGAATATCACTTAATAGTTCAAGCAATTATGTGAAACTAGCATCGGTCTAACCTTGCCTTCAAGTTCATCAATTTCAACACGGTTGTCAATCTTATGTAATCATCTTTACACCCTGAGTACAACGGCGTCTCTGCATCACTACACAAGGTTTCACATGTGGGAGAGAACTGTGTAGAGGACTCAGACCGTATATGTCACAAAACATATCCAAAATTCTATCACTAAAGTCTTAATTCATAACCTTTTTCTTTCTAGATATTGTAGTCTTTCTAATTTCTCCATACCATATTTAATTTGTATATCTCAAATTTATCCCATCACAGATAAGATGCTCTCTTATCTCAGGAATACTCCGCCAACTATTGTTTAAGCATTTGACACAAGGACAATAATACAATCCATCTCTTTTACTAGGGGCATTTCTCTGAGCAAACTCAAGAAACCTTTCAACTCCATCCTCATATCATTTGCTAATTCTTTTAGCTTTCATCCAACTATGATCCATTATTCTACAGAGTCAATGAGCATAATTGCAATTACTTTTAAAAATTAGATTAAATAATTTCTAAAAAAAAAATAGTTACATATAATGAATAAGCAAAAATGTTGATAAAAATATATAATTAGACAAACATATATAAGTTTTGTAAAATAGTTAATAATAAATCATTTTTATTATTTTAATCAAAATCAAAACTATTCTTCATAACATATTTCAACATGCATAAATTTTTATAAAAATTTTAAATTAATTTAATATAATTTCTTTTAGAACACTTGCTTCTAATTTAATGTCATAGAAAAAATAAAATTGGATTTGTATATAAAATTTAGCTTTTTGTAAAAATAAATTAAAACACATACTTAAAGAAATAAATTTTTGTAAAAGTATTATTCCCTTTAGGTCCTTCATTCTAATTTTCCCTATAACAAATCCCAAATTATTTAAAAAATAGACAAATCAATCAACCAACCAAACTAACAATGTAATAAACAAAGACATGATAAATTTGAAGAAATATAACAAATAAAACAAAAGTAACAATTCAATCTCAAACCAATTCAGTGAATAAATATTCTTAAAGCTGAAACTTTTGAATCCAAATTGCGAACCAGTGAACAAAAAACCGGTTCGGACCGGCCGGTTCAACCGGTAAATCAGCGAACCGGTCAATGGACTGATTCGGTTTGGATACTAAACTGAGAAGGAGTTGAACTGACAGAGAACTGGTCAAACTGGTGTGAACTAATGAAAACCGAAAAAAACTTGTGTGAACGGGTAATAAACCGATTTGAGTGATTATGCTGTTATTAATCGTATTTTTTCTCATACAGCTCCTAATATATTAGCCCATATAAATTTAAATGAATTTTAATGATAATTTTGGTATCAATAATTATTAATTTTAATTAATGATGAACCATAAAGATATACATTTTCAATGTTGTGATACTTTGTTATTGTTACAATCAAATTATTGTCATATTTTCTTATATTTTGTTATTAGTGAGTGTTAATGTTGTTTTATTTTGCTATTTTTAATTAAATTATATTATTTTAATATGACTGGTTGGACCCTGAGTTGACCCCAGTCCGACCAACTGACCCTTGAACCACTACCTCAACCGATTTAGTGTCCAGTTTGGTTTTTGTTCCTTGGATGGGAGCACAAATAATATCCATTTACCATGAAATTTTAAACAAGAATTTATTATCAATCAAAGTTCACAATGAAAAAAAAGTTCACAAAACACTGAACAAATTATTTATTAGTAAATTCTCAAGTTTATTATAAAAAAATATCAAATTTCGAAATAAATATAAAAAATTATTAAAAAAAATCAAAAACTTCAAAACTAATCAACTTTAAATATTTACACATGTTTCTAATGTCGTATAGAGGAAGGAATTGAGGTTTTCTAACACGAAATGGCACCAATCAACACCTCAAGTACATAAAAAATACAAAATAAACAATGCAAGACATCTAAAATGTAAAACCAATCAACCTATTTGAAATACAATAGATTTTTATAGTTAAAACATCCAAGAAACCAAGAAAAAATGAAAAGAATGAAAGAAGAGGATACTCACTTAGTAGAGACAATTCAAATGCGAGAAGATGGGCAGCGAAGATGGCGGCAAACAATCACAAGTGAAATGGAGGACTTTAAACAGCAAGAAAGAGGGGGGAATGGCCAGCAATGGCAGTTCAGTGGTGGTGGGAGAGAGGGGGACCATAGTGCGCTAAGGGGAAACTGTGACAATGTGAAAAACTGAACCATATCACGGCATAATTCAAAACTTTCCATGGTGGTTATCAATAAAACCCTTATGAAAAGTGAAGAGCCACAACACTTATTTACAAAAATGCCACCACCTTTTTTTTCGTAGCATTTTTCTTCTTAACTGCTGTTGTTTTGCATCGTTATATGTATTTTTTCTAGTAGTACACATGAAATACCCTACAAGTTACAAAACAAATGTCACCAGATGAAAGAGATGAGAAGCTAACTGAAAGAGAAGTTGTATGAGAGTTATTCACCAGTCTGTCCAAAATTGACTCTCTCAATTAAATCAACAAAAAAAAAAAGACTCTTCAAATGCTCCCATGTCTTGCATATGGCTAGTTGTTAGGATTTAAATTTTAAATAAGGTAATACTTCCTCTCCGGACCCATATATATCGTCATTCATATAGTAGCCTAACTTTTATTGGGTTTAGGCTCTAATACACCAAAAATAAACCAGATATAACAAAACATATTTGAATACAATTCTTAACATGGGAAGATTCAGGCTGCTTTTGAAATTAATTCTAATGGCTCTGAAAAATATTATAAGTTAATTAATATTTTAATTATTTATTATAGAGTGGCTGAAAGGACAAGCTCGCAGTTAAGTGGCATAGCAGGTTGATAGATGTTCTATGGCCTTGAAATTTTATATATATATATATATAAAGGATGATGAGATGGTCATTTAATATTTTCATTAGTTGTTATAGATTTTTGACAATGATGAGATGGTTGCTTAGGGTAACAAAAAGGTTGTGTATACTTAGGGATCTTGAGTTCAAAATTTTTTCTCACTCTTTTCCTCCATTCTCCGCTTACTCTTCTTGGCTCGATATCCTTGCTCCTTCATCTACTCCTTTTCCCTTCTCGTCCGACTTGTCCTTGCTGTCGCCTAGTCGTGCTCGCCATCTCCAACTCCTGGCCGCCGTGGGACCATCGAGAGTAAAGTCATCGTTGTAGGTTGGGTAGCATGGAGGGAGATGAAGAAAAGGCAAAAAAATTTGGGGCCTGGAAAGTAATAAATAAAAACTAATTAAATAAAAGAGGTAGTGAATACACGTTGACATGTTTCAGTAGCTCTTTGTTTGGAGTTTCGTAGAGATATTTTTTTTCCCTTTTAGCATTTAATTCTCTGATATATGAGGAAATTTTTAGTTTAATTTAATCTAAATTCAAATTATTTTTGTATTAAAAAATATGTCCTGTAAATTTTTTAATCTAAATATATTTATTTCATTAAATGTAACTTCTTCCAACTTAAAATAGTTTAAAATTATTGTATTATGTAAATTGGTATCTTTTTTTTTCATTTTACATTATCTAATAAATGTCATACTCATTTTAGTAATTTTATAAACTAAACTTACTTTGCTCAATCATAATAAAAAAAACTTTTATTTTTACTCAATCTAACTTTTTCAAAAGTCAATCCAAATATAAATCATATTATCTAATCTAACTTTTACCTAATTTAACTTTTTTTTTTTTAAAAATCAAATTGAAGAGAAGCTACTTTTCTTTTTATTGCTATTCCAAACTGGCACAATTATGATTTTTAACTTGTCTGGCTTTAGGGTCTGTTTGAATTAGTGGTAGAAAAAATAATTTATTTTCAATTGGAATTTTAGAAAAGTCAAATTGTGTAAAAGTTAGATTGAGTAATGTAATTTATGTTTGGACTGACTTTTGTAAAAGTTAGTTTGTAAAGTAAAAAAGTTGTTTGTATTATAATTGAATAAGTTTAGTTTGTAGAATGACCAAAATAAGTATGATTTTTATTAAATAGTAAAAAAATAATTAAAAATATAATAATGTCAAAGTATTATAATGACAAAAAGTTATATTTAATGAATAAAATATATTTAAATTAGAAATCATAGTAATGTGGAAATTTTTGAACCAGATAATATTACATAATTAATTAGATGATGTACTCTGCCTAATTTATGTTAATATAAAATGAAAAATAATATTAAAAATTAAGAATATTATAAAAACTATTAAAAATTATTTTCACTTAAAAGAATATTAAAAATAAATAACTAAAAATTGATTAAGAAGGACAAAGAATATATAGAGAGAGAAATCTAAGAACAACATAAACATAGGGACAAAAATGCTTTTTAATTCCAAAAGGTACTTTTGTATTAGTCATAAGTTTTATGTTTAAAAAAGCAACTTTTGACCCATGAGTTAGATTAGATAAAAGCTGTGACAAACAGCTCTTAAATTTGCAAACTAACTTATCTCACCTATAAGTTACTTTTTTCCTCCCAATGCCTTAGCCAAAAGATAAGTTACTTTTTCTACTGCTATTCCAAACATGCACAATTATGATTTTTAACTTGTCTAGCTTTAGTTGTCTTTGATGAAATGATACCTTTATACTACTTGCGAACCGTACCCTTGCAGATTAAGCTAAACCATGAACAGATAAGCGTAAAAAGGGGAAAGAAATTAATGTATCAATCCGAATCATCCACCAAGCATGATGTTATGAGTTTTTTTTTTCCCCCCCTCCCTCATTTTTGGGTTCAAAACTTGATCTCGCCTGTAACACCTTCCTACGAGGTACAATTATCTTGCTAATTAATGATATAAAACGAAAGAGTTAAAGGTGGCTTCCGTGTACCTCTACTTAATTTCAATCAAAATAGGCATAGTGGGTCTTATATCCTCTGATAAACATTCTTGTTGGAGCAAAGCAACTACTTCAGACATTTTTGGCCTTAATTCCGCAGATGCTTGTGTGCAAAGTAAGGCAATCTTTATGATTTTCTTCACTTCCTCTGCATCATAATCATTGGGGTCTAAGGTATCATCAATCAACTTTAAATGTAAGCCTTTCCTATATAAGTTCCAAGCCTGCCAAGTGAGATAACAATGAAAAGGATCAAGAAGTGTAGAAAATTAAAGAGAAGGGAAAACTCATAGTAATTTTTTTTAAATATACTCTTCCGGTCCTTAATATAAGGCTTATTTAACTAATTTGATTAGATTAAAGAAGTTAGGTAAGTTAGTTAATTATAAGAAAAATGACATGTTTTTCCTAAAACACTATAATCATCTTTCTTAATATCCTCCCTCCCTCAGTTACTTGATTATAATTAAAGGAATACTATTGGGGTAATTTAGAAAAAATTGATAAATATGAAAAATAGGTTTTATATTTGAATCAGAATTAATTTAAGAATTTGAGTCTTCTATTACGGACCAAATGAGTATATTACCAAGTGTGCTAATAAAAAAGGAACGGCTCTTCTAAAGAGTTAAGATGAGTTGGGATAAAAATTATTATATAGGCCATGAACTTTATCAAAAACTATTATACAACTATTCGAGTTCTAAATATAAAACTCATTTTGTAGTTCAAATTACATTTTAAAGTTAATCTTATATTTTGGACCAGAGAAATACTATCTTTCATATAAGTTTTCTTTACAAAAAATGTGATTTTAAATAGTCATCTTACTTTCTGAAGGAGAAATTCGCCTTCCTCATCACCATCGAGCTTTAATTCACTGTTTCTTTTACCACTAATAATTTCTAGCACCACAACACCGTAGCTATAAATATCAACCTTCTCTGATAATTGTCCATGAATTGCATATTCTGGTGCTGCATATCCTCTGAAAAAATAGATAATATTTTTTACATCATGGATCATCACAATGGATCAAAAAACACACAATATTTGGAATAAACAAAATGTGTAAGAAAGTAAGAACCATCAAAATCTTAAATTGACAGCTACAAAGTATTGCATCAAATCCCACATCAACATGAATTCTTTCTTCATGAATTATTGCTTGTATTGAGGAAAAGTTAATTAAAAACTATCTATCGGTGTAATATGAGTGTTCGACTTGCTTATGCATACGTTGCATAATGCTTCAAAGAATCTGTGAAAATTACGAAAATTACAACCAAAAAAGAAGAAGAAGAAGTTATTTCAACTTACAATGTTCCTGCAAATCTTGTGCTAAGATGAGATTTGTCTTCGGGTAAGAGCTTTGCTAAACCAAAATCAGCAATTTTAGGTTGCAAATCATCATCTAATAGGATGTTGTTAGTCTTTATATCTCTATGTATAATGCAAACATGAAATTCTTCATGTAGATAAGTTAAACCCCTTGCTGTTCCTAAAATTATATCCCATCGATGGTTCCAATTAAGTGAACCTTTCTTTTTGCCTGGGAAAGAAAAAAAAGGCTAAAACTTCAAAGCGATTCACAAAATATTTCAATAGAAAATAGACAATATATTTATTGAGTTCTTCAGTAAAATTATGAGATACGAATCAATTTTTATTAGAGGAGTCAATGATTCATTGTTAAATTGAAATTATCCCATGTCACAGTAATAAGAAAAGCCTAAAGGACAATATATAAAAGGCTTTTTTGGTTGATATATATGAGATACCAAATATGAATTTGTCAACACTGGTCTTTTCCATGTATTCATAGACCAAATTATCCCATGTCACAGTGTTATTAAAACATTAAATAAGAAAAGCTTAAAGAACAATATATAAAAGGTTTTTTGGTTGATATATATGAGATACCAAATAAGAATTTGTCAACACTGATCTTTCCATGTATTCATAGACCAAATTATCCCATGTCACAGTGTTATTAAAACATAAAATAGGAAAAGCTTAAAGAACAATATATAAAAGGTTTTTTGGTTGATATATATGAGATACCAAATATGAATTTGTCAAGACTGGTTTTTTCCATGTATTCATAGACCAAATTATCCCATGTCACAGTGTTATTAAAACATAAAATAAGAAAAGCTTAAAGAACAATATATAAAAGGTTTTTTGGTTGATATATACGAGATACCAAATATGAATTTGTCAAGACTGGTCTTTTCCATGTATTCATAGACCAAAATTCTCTCATCGCCTTTACAGCAACATCCAAGAAGTCGAACAAGATTCCGATGATGAACATTGCTAATGAGCTTTACTTCACTCTCAAATTCTTCCTCCATCCTCTTTGATTGTCGTAAAGTTAATTTCTTCACTGCAACTACTTTTCCATTCTCCAAAGTTCCCTATACATAATGATCTAGAATTTCAATCTTGAAGGTTTTAAATTAGAGGTTCTACCTTTGTCCTTTAAAAAAAAAAAATTTTTACATGACTATGGAAAACTCAATTAGAAGAAACATCCTAGTACGTTTTGGATCATGATCTATGTCAAAATACTGATGAAAACCAAAATGTGTAAATACCTTATATACTGCTCCAAATCCACCTTCCCCAAGTTTATTTTCAATGCTGAAATTTTTTGTTGCAGACTTCAAATCCCTATAATTGTAGTTAACTGGGGCTTTCAACTTACTTATTCCAGTTACATCTCCTGTTAAGGACAACATTAGCCAATGTCTCATCATAAATTTAAAAAATCCTTTACTTTCATAGAGATGATAAGTCCATAACTTTTCTGTGAAAACCGAAGCACTAAATCATTGAAGAACTTTCAAGTTGTTTTACCTTTGGGAACTCTCTTTGGCTTCTTCGTGGTCTAATCCAGGCAAATAATGTCATAAGGAAGATCAAAACCAGCACTAGACTTCCAATAACAATACCAATGATGGCTCCCTTATTGCTTGAACCAGCTGCAGGACAGGAAAATTGTGTAATCAAGCCCTTAATTACATAAGACGTGTGTGTAACAAAAGATTTAGAATTACTCAACAAAATGAAGTCATTGTGTTTTTTGATGTGCTATATAATGTTTTACCTTGTTTCAAGAAGTGGTTGATATCAGTGGTTTGATTACCAGCAAAGAAAGAAGCTGTGGAGTATCTCATGAAACAGCCAGTATCGTAACTCTCAGCATTTGAGTTTGTAAGACAAGTCTGAAATTTTTCTGATACAGATTTCATGCAATTCTGGCACCCACTTTGTGAGAGGGTCTGAACACATTGAGCAATCGCATAAACATTCAAACCATTACTATTAGGAACAGGCGTCTTAGTGGCTGCATAAAATCCACTCATTCTTGGGGTTGCTACGTCTAGATTCCTCAACACTTGTTGTACAGTTGAAGCAAGCGCAGAGGAATCTATTATTGTATGATTCCCACATCTTATGTCGCTCCACTCGACTTCGCTGGCCAGATCAAAATGTTTGCTGCTGTCGTACCTAATCATTAATCAAATATGAAACTGACCAAGCATGTGTCTAGTGTCATTTTGGTATTGGATGGTCCCGAAACGAGATATAATGCAGCCTCTTTTGTGTGTACCTATGGCTGCTGAAGAAGATTAAATTGACATGAACTTGTTTCTCCAAGAAGAACATTTGAATTTAATTTTTTTTACTTATTAGACAAGAATAACGCATGGCCTTATTATCTTATCTCCATGATGCTCTATTATCCAAGATTAAAAAAAAAAAAAAGTCAAATTTGAAGTTGGTGGGTAGCTAATTGTACCTGAGGAAGCAGCCTTCGTAGACGAGACGGGCACCATATGCCGTGGTGGAGCAGTTGCGGATGTTGACGGCGGCGACATCGAAACAAGCGAGGCAGTCGGCGATGGAGAGGTAGTTTCTGCACTGAAAAAGACCATAAATGGGGATGTTAGCCTTCACTGCCTGAGCTGTAGTGAAGTGTTGGTTTTGGTTTTGGATCTGAGCTCTCAGGTCTTGAAGCGTTTCGTCTAGGATCCCCTTCAAGATGGACCCGTCGTTCTTTGTCCAATAGATGGATCCGTCGCCGTCGCCGTCTTGGTCACACCATAGTCGCACTAGATTGGCCTGAGGGTCCGAAACGACGCCGTCCAGAGTCAACCATGACCAGGTTATGATGTTCAATAAGAAGAACAACAGATGCTTTTGTTGCAGTAGTGGTGGCTGCATGCTGTTTTTCTTACTTTGCTGAAGCAAAGAAGAATGAAAGATGAAGGGGAAAGGGAAGCAATGGCGGAACTAGAATAAGGAGAGAAGCCCCAGAAATTTTGCAAAAGTATATTGGAGATCTATATGTACACCGATATATCGTAGTTTGTGTTTGATATTAGTTGTCATTAATTTTTAACGATAACTTTATATTATATTTAAGAGAGAGGTCACCAATATATAATTGAAATTTCAAAGTATAGTTTTGTTATCTGTGCCCAGCTTACCAAATAAGAGTAGTAATAGGATGAGATATTGGTACATGCAAATGTCAAAAGTTCAATTACCCACGTTTCCCGGCTAAAATAAATAAATAAATAAAGATACTCACATTTCGTTAAAAAAAAAAAATTCACACACCCCATCATATATACTAGTTTCCTTCTTAATATAAGAGTTAATTGACTAATTTGAAAAGATTAAAAAAATTTGTTAAGTTAGTTATTTATAATAAATAGGTGTTATCTTTTATAGAATATAATTACTAATCATGCATATTACCTAGAAATATCATTTGATAGAATATTTAATATATACAATTACTACAAGAATTACTTTAAAAACAATGAATAAATATAATAAACAAAGTAAATTGAGGTCTTATAATTAAATGTTAAACTAATTTTTATATTAAGGATCGCAAATAGTATACACAAAAAGGGTCAAACTTGTAACCTCTTAATTAAAATCAAGACTTAAATAAATACTTAATGTGAGTTGAGTCAAGCAGCTCTGACAATAATTATCATATATCTAATATATTAATCCTATACAAAGATTGTAATAAAAAAATTATGAAGAATAAATTAAAAATAATAATGCGTTGAAAGAACTAAACTGTAGACACATACTTCTGCATGTTATCCCAGATGAGTTACTTTATATATAATGGAAAATTGTAATAAGAACCCATCCAAGAGAATTAAATACAAAAAAGTCTTTTGAAATCATCAAATTATTCTGAAGTCTCAAGAGAATTTATTGCAAGAAATTTTATTTGTTTAATTACCAAATTATCCTTTTTTTTAAGTATATATTGACAACTGAAAGAACAGTCGTTAATAAGTTAAGGTCTAATGATTAATAGCTATCATGGCAGTTATTGACAACTCATGTATTATATTTTTGTGATGCGTTAAGAAAATGTGTTGTTAATACCTTAGGTTGTTAAAACCTGTACTTTTAGTTTTCAATATATACTTAAAAAAAAAAAAGATAAGAACAATTTGGTAATCAAATAAATAAAATCTTTGACAATGAGGTCCCTTAAGATTTTAGAATAATTTGGTGATTTCAAGTGACATTTTTGTATTTAATTTTCTTAGGTGGGACAGGATTGCAATTTTCCTATTATATAAATATATTATATATATAATATTTTTTTCAAGTATCATTAAAACCCCAAAAAGTAAAGATAAATAATTCGAATAGAAAATTAAGTTAAATATTTCAAGCATTTCTTAGAATTTTATTTGTTAGTTACATATTTTGTATTGACATTTTTTTATAGCTATGTTTGCTTGTTTCCATCCCATGGAATCCATATCTCAGGCGTCTCCTTTATTATACAAGAATTATCAGTTGAATATATTTTATTATTATACAAGAATAATGTATCCTTCATGTAAGGGTGCAATAAATCAATATAATATATTCTTTTTTTTGGCCAAAATCAATAATATTTTCTAAAAATTGGCATTTATTCCGACAAAATTATATGACTTAGAATTCTAGGTTTTATGATCGTGTGTCGTCTAAATAAAGGACTTTAGATGTTATTTTCGCTTGTTCTGTTTATATTTGTTTTCTTTCGTATCGTTGTCTCGATGTCACAATATTCATTAAAAAGATGTCCCAAGAAATATATTATCTCTATGATATGCTCTGTTATTAAAGAAAAGCAAGTCAAACTTGTTCTTGTTGGCACTAATTATACATGAGTAAGCAGCCGAATCCCACTTAATGTTAATATTATTTGTTTAAAAAGTATTTAGATCTTTGAATTAATTATATATATGATAATTTATTGGGCTAACAACATTATTACATAAATGAAAGAAGAAAGAGGGTGAGAGTAGCCGCCAAACTTAAAGCCTAACCTAGCTTATTTTATGACATTGTGCGTGTATCTTTTAATCATAGAATCATATATTCTATAGAAGTTAATTAGTACTCCATGCCATCTTAAATATAAGTTTGAAATAGGCCAACACCTTTTATAAATTACACTTTGTAACTTGGCTGAAAATTTAATTCACTTATTTTGTTTTTATTTTAATTAATTACATGTCTCTTTCATCTCTCTTTTTATTTATTTTCCCTTATCTATTTTTTACCCATTCTCTCTTAGTCATCCTCTACATAAATAAGTGTATATTTGGAAAATATTATAATACATACCTTTTACATGTTTATTGTCTTTAACCAACTTTTTATCTACATAGTATCACAGTATCTGTTATCCATTGTCTCTACTCTTTATAAGTCTTGTAAAAAAATAAAATAGATGCTTTCTAAATGTTTGCCATCTTTAGTATAAACCTGTATGATACAACAGTCATTAACAAGTGAAGTAGCAATACTCATAACTATCACGGCCTATATATATTGACAACTATCACGGCATATATTGACAATTCTCTCTTTTTAAAGCTTTTCTATCTAAATTACTACTCTTTATAATACATTTTTTTTTTTACATATTTATTGTCCCTAAGAAATATATTACTCTACTCCTATTTATAAGTCACTTGTACGTCAAACCTACAAACTAAGAAATACATCAAATTGAAAATTTTTTTTACATGTACTCTTATTAAAGAAAGAGTATTAATGTTCTATTTTATATTTTCTTTCACTTATTTGCTTTATCTCCCTATACATTTATTAAGTCAATAAGGATCAAATTAGAAAAATCTCATTAATTACCCTACAAATGACTTATATTTAGGAACATATTTTTTTCCTATAAGTGACTTATATTTAGGAATGTTTTTTTTTCTTACAAGTGATTTATAAATAAAAATAGAATGACATTATCCCTATGACGCTCCTTTATTTAAAAAAGAAAGTCAAACTTGTTGGTGGACTAATTGTACATGTGGAAGCAGCTGTATCCTAGTAAATATTAATGTAGTCATTTCTTTAAAAAATTACTCCCTCTGTTCCTTATTATAAGAGACGAATAACCGAATTACGTTGATAAAAAAAAACAGTTAAAATTAGTTAAGAACAATCAATGTGTAAAAAAGTATAATTTTTTTTTCAAAAATGCCCTCATTAATAAAGAGAGAGAGCATGAGAGAATAATTAAATTATTAAAATAGGAAATCAACACAAAAAAATAGAGACAACTTTTAAGTGTCTTTTATACATAGAAACATGTTATAAGTATCAAATGTCTTTTATAATAAGGAACAGAGGGAGTATTATGGAAAGGGAAGAGGACGAAATAAGACTAATTAAATATAGCTTGCAGAATTAATACGAGTTGGGTGACAACTTGGAATGTCCCAAGTCCCGACGTAACATCACATGATGCCTCAATTTTAATTCCCAATTATTAACCAGAAAAATTATTTAATTAGCACTCCAAATCTTGGTGTTTTTTATTTGTTTTAGATCACAGAATTAAGAAAATGGATCCTGTAATAAAGTAGACTTGCACATGAACTTGTCAAACTCGCTAGTAAAAGACGTGACTTCAAATCGTGAATTCGGACCATAAATTCATGGGAGTTTATTTTTATTAATAAGTAGCTATTAAAATACATGATTAAATAATTAAAATATAAAAATTGACCATACTTTTGTTTAAATATATTTCAAATTCAATATAGTGAAATCAAATCGATCAACATTCATAATTTATCATAGTAAACGAAATATTTTCATTAATTTCAGATATGAAGTCACTAATAAATCCAAAAATATATTTAAATTCAGCAAAAATAATCAAATGTAGGATTATCATAATTTCCATTGTCCTTAATTAAGTTCTTTATCTTCACGATTGTAATCTCCACTTGCCTCATCCCATCATCATTATTGTAAACTCACAAGAGTTTACTTTAAAAAAAAAATCAATACTAAATGTATGAACTTATTATAAGTGAGAAAAATATTATTTATACATTTTAATATATGATACTATTAAATTTTTCATTAAAATAATAGGATAAAAATATATTTATAAGAAAAAATTTTAAAATTAAATGTTCTAACTGTATAGATTCAATTCTAGGAGCTTCATTGGACTCGTGGATAGGCCACTGCACTCGCGAATTACAATAGGCTACAATTTTTTTTTTTTTTGAGTTTGCCACCGACTCAATTATTAAGTGGATGGAATCTCATTCTCAGCAGCAGTATTATATTAACTTCACAATCCTAGTCTTACATTGGAGCCGCCTATATTCTTAAATACACATAGTCACCATTTAACATTTTCCTCCTAAAAGACAAGGTCGTCGTTTTGCTACAATTGTGATTGGTAGTGAAATAAGCATCAATGTGACCTATTGATGTCAATTATTGACTGAATTTAATTTTGAGATGGTTTGAACATGTTTAAAGAAGTGGTTCGAACATTTTCAAAGATAATTATTGAATACACTTAATGAGAAGGGTAGATCAAACAGTATAAAAAAACCCTTTGAATAAAACCCCTTGAATAGGAAAAGAAGTTATACGGCTATTATCAAAATCTATATATGAAAAAAATTTCTGTGCTGTTACCTCTAATCACAATGACTTGTCAATTATTGATGACGAAACACTACCAAATTTGTCAGAGTTCGAAAACTCTAGGATTTGCCCCAATGATGGCATGATTGGGTCCATTTTAGTTTTGATTCTACTCACAAACGATGAATGCCAAGCGAAATCTGCAGAACTACGGCTTTTGAGGCCGAAATATTACGGGGAAAGGGATTGCAATGAAGATGGTGATGAAGCACCTG